CACGCCGTGAGTTCATGGGCAGTGTTCCTTCCATGAAGCAGGGTGGGGAGCTCACGACATGTTACCATATCAAACAACACTACGTCCCTTGTTTCAAGTGATCTAAAGCAGCAATCCAGAGAAGATGCTAAGATTCTAAGATTGTGTGACCCAACCGAGGCGGTGAACCCAGAGTCAGACCCCACCGGGGATGTGGGTCTCCTGACGCCAGATCCTGGGATCTCTCATCAGGCTGGAATGCTTCCTCGGGACGGCCGAGAAAGGGAAACCAGAACTGGGCAACTTTGACTTGAGTACAATGAAAGCCATCACAGAGGATTCCTCAAACAGCAAGTGAACACAACAAACTCCCTCTTGGTTTCGGGGATCTCAGATGTTGGCCGTGAGTGACAAGGGAGCCTCCTGGTCTTCCGGATAACCAGGAAAGAGGTCGTAGCTGGCTACAAGTCACAGAAACTTGATTAAGGTGTGAAGCGATGAGGGAACGTGCCAGCCCATGAAACTGGAAATCCAGAGGTGGGGGTGTGGGGGGCATCAGCGAGTCACAGAGACCCCAGCAGCCACTCACGCTCTGCCTGGGCACCAAAAGCATTGTCACCTTAGGGCTTACTCCCTTCGTGGTCTCAAGGTGGCTGCGGGCAACAATGGGGGGGACTTTCTTGTCCCTTCACAAGAGAGAGACTGACTTCCTGCAGCTCTACCGTCCACTCAAGCCCATGCGCATTCTGGAACCATCACTGCAAGAGGGACACACGACCCCAGGACCAATCAGGCCCAGCCTATGGCCACAGGTCTCTGGCTGAGAACCAGGATGCTCTTGGTGAGGTGAGGGATCAGCTACTGGGGAGATCAGCCTCAAGACCCTCCATGGGGGGGCAAATTTGGCTCCCACAAATAGCACACCTCCCCAGTGTGGTCTGGGCCTGGGCAGAAGGCCAACAGGATCCCCACGCAACTAGTCCAAAACACGAGAACAATTCCATGCTGCAGAAACTGCCCAGCTGCTGGGTTCAGACAGGCTGATGATGACAGTCTCCTGAGCCTAACAACTCCCTGTCCCAGTCCCTGCTTCATTTCCTCAGCCACCCAGTCTGTGAGGATATGCCCATGGCTCTGAAATCACATGCAACATGCGAGGACGGCGAGCATATGGGGTCAGGGAAACAGAGGCGTCTTTCTGTGGATCCAAGAGGCACACAACGCATGTACAACAGAAGTTCATGGCTAATATGCTCAAGAGAGAAAAGCTGGGACTGGGGTCCTAGCAGGAAAGCATGCCCTCAAGAGCCTTCCCCTTCAGGTGCCTGGGAATGACCACTGCCACCTCCCCTGGGGTGTGAGCCCCCAAAACCCTGTGTCTGGCCCCTCACTGCCTGCCCAGGGCCACACCCAGCAGAAGACAGACCCCTAAACACTGATGACTGAAGGGGAGGAAGGGGTTTGTAGATCAGACTAGCCTCGAGGGGGAACCAGGTGGTGGGTATTAGAGAGGGTACGGATTGCATGGAGCACTGGGTGTGGTACAAAAACAATGAATACTGTTATGCTGAAAATAAATTTTAAAAAAATGATTAAAAAAAAAAGACTAGCCTCGAGATGCCCGCTTCATTCACCCCAAAGCTGAGCTCCATGGCTACAGCAAGGGAACACAGCCAGGAAGCATTCCTTCCTGGGCCATATCTGGCTCTTGAGAAGTCTAAACCCACAGAGACTTGCTGGCACTCTCTTACCCCTGGCAATCCTTCTCCCAAGGGTCCAGGTCCTTCTACTGTCTCGAGAGATTCAACTGTACTGCTCTCCCCAGCACCCTCCCCCCAAACTTTCAATGTTCTATGTCCCAGGGTGGCCTGCACCCATGCTTAGTGGTGACAACAACACTCTATCAGCTGAGCTGAGCCAAGAGTTAAAGGGGGTGGGGGTGGGGGTGGAGGAGTCTGCTCTAATTCATACCAAGGTGTGAATGACCAAACAAAATCTAAACTCTTCCCAAAGTGTTTGAGATTTTACAAGTGGAGATTCAGGAACTCAAGCAGGACTCCCACTGGCAAAGATGACATTTAACTCGAAACCTAAAGGATAAGGAGTCAGCGGTAAGAAGAGCAGGAGGGGGATAGTCTAGATAGAGAACACAGCCAGTGCAAATGCTGTGAGGCAAGGGAAAAAAAAAAAATGACCTGCTTAAGGAACAGGAAGTAGACCAGAGCCACTGGGGTGTGGTGAGTGAGTGTTTGTGGGTCAAATGACCAGGTGGAACAGGAATTTGTACACCTGGGTCTTTCACAAAATCTCAGCATCCATTATCTGCTCATCAAGCTCTTCCAGGAACTGTATAAATTACACCCGTGTGCCCCTGATTAAATACCTCCAGCTGACCAAGCACTGTGCTGGGTATTTTCTGTATTAGCATAATCACCGATCATCCCAACAGTAATAACGTGAGATAAGTTATGATTATTTCTCCCTTTACAAAGGGAAAAAGTGAGGCTCAGAAAGGTTTAATAACTTGTCTAAGATTACACAGCATGAGAAGAGTCAGAAGCAGGCTTTGAACATAAGTCTAAGTGACATCCAAATCCGTAACCCACCCAGTGATGGAGCATAAAATGCCAGGTGCAGTGCTGGGCGAGACCATCTTCATGCAGGGCAGCCAGAAACCGCATCTAATTCTAATTATGACAATCACAGCTCTTGCTCCCTCTCCTAGACCCTACTCTCCCGGAGGACAGGAATTTCTGATCCCACTCTTCTCTGCACGGCAGCCCCCAAGCCCTACGCCCTACATATATACAGGCACTCAGTTTGGGACGTGGACAAGGTCAAGCCTCGGTTTCTTCTATAAAATTGGGAAGCGATGTACACGAGATCTTGCGTGAGGCCCCGGCACACAGTAGGTGTTCAACAAACTTCAGCTGCTAGTTAACAATTTACAGCTCCAAGGCTGCTCCCTCATCCACCGTCCCACTGGCCCTTCCCAGATACCCTAAAACCTTGTAGGCAGATTGGTATTCTCACCCATTCTACAGATGAGGAAACCGAACTTAGTGAGAAGGGCTTTCCCTCAATAGCACAGAGCTCCCTTCTAGAATATAGGCTGCCCAAGGACAGCATCTTTGTCTAGTCCCCAGGGCCAAAACAGTGACTGGCACATAGCAGGGAAATATTTGCTGAATGAATGAATAGGAATTAAAAACATCACTTCTTTCTCAAAGGATGCACTTCCCCCTTGCTCTGCTCTGGTAAGAGCCAATAAATTTCTGGAAGCAAGCTAGAAGGGTGGTGGGGTGGGAAGAAGAAGGAATTAATGTTTGCAAATGTCCACTATGGGTCCGGCATAGGGGGTTTTACTTTTCATCAGAGTCCTGCATCCCATCCCATCATCCTCAAGGTTGAGATGAGAAAACAGAGGCTTTCTGCAGAAAGCCAGACCGGAATGACCTGCCAAGATCCCCTCTCAGCCAGAGCCAGACCACAAGGGCACCTGCCAACAACCCAGAGGCCTCTCACCCTCTATGCTCGGCAGCCTGCGCGCCGAAAAAACACCCCGACGCACGCTGACTCTACCTCGCCCTCACCAAGGCAGCCCACAAAGGGTCGCTTTCAGCTCCCTGGGCCCCAGAAAGCCCGAGCTTGGAGGCTGAGCCCTCACCTAGCCAGGCAGCCCTAACCCCTTCCCTTTCCCCTCCCCCATCAGCAAAGCGTGACTCAGCGGTTCTCCTCCCGGGAGCGGGGAGCGCCACCCCTCAGCGTCCCTCCGCCCAGGATAGATACACACTAAGGCTCAGCTCTCCGGGACAGGACGCAGGGGTCCCGCCCCGCGCTGGCCCCGCGCTCCCAGGCCTCCGCGGGACTCCGGCTTGGGCTTGGCCTCATTTCCGGCAGAGCCAGGCACTAGACCGCGGACACTGCCCGGGAGTCGATTCCCCGCCGCCAAGCCAACACAAGATTCCCTGACACAGGCACCCACGCGCGCCAGCCCCGCGGAACGCCATGCGCAGGGTCCCTCCCACTGGGGGCACCCACCGGGGGACCTCTTGCTACCAACCCACCAACACTTATGCGGCCAGTTCATCGGCCCCTAAGGAAGGTGCAGCCAGTCCCTAAACCCGGGAAGGTCTCCAGCGCAAGTGTCCCCTCTGCCGCATGCTGACACCCCGCGGCTAGCGATCACCCCATCTTCAATCAGGGATTCGCTCCGCAGGCCCCTGGCTGCGGTTTGGGAGCTGTCCCCCACCATTCTCTGGGCAAGCTGAAGGAGAGAGACCCTTGGAAGTCACAGGTCCATCAGCGCTGACCAGTGGGATTCTACCACCTCGGGATGGGGGCTGGGCTTGGGCCTGTTGGACCAGTTTGGGGGATTTCAAATACAGGGCCCCTTTGGGAAGGCATGTCCCACTTTTAGGGGAAAATTCTGACAGTTTGGGGCCAGCTCTTTCTGTCTCAGTATAACTCACCGAGAATAAAAGACCAACCCCAAACCGGCCGCCGTCTCCCACCCACGAGGGGCCCCTGCCTTTGGAGGTACAGGGAGTGCCCCGGGACAGCGAGCCTCTTGGGGGGGGGGGGTGTCTGGCATTGGATTTTTTTCCCCGTGGATCCCTCTTCGTCTCTGGGGAGTGGGCAGCCTAGAAAATTCTGTGGGCTTTGGGCAGGGCTGAAATGGCAAACCCAGGATTCTAAGCCAATACATCTCCCTGGATTTCTTCACCAGATTAACCGCAGGAATGGCCTTTTTACAAATGATGGCCAGGGCCGATTCAGGATGCCACACAGGCCTGGGGGCCGAAAGCTGCCTGCCGGAGGGCGGCGCGGAGGAGGGCGCTGGGCAGCGGAGGCCGGCGCCCTCGGGCTCCCTCCCTCCGGGACCCGGGGCAGGGTGGGGTGGGGTGGGGTGGGGGGACACGACACACAGCGCGCGGTCCAAACCTTCGGAGGGCATTCGGTGCGACGGCATCCCCACGCCGCGGCCGGCCGGAGGGGGCCTCAGACAACACGTACGTTACCTTCAGTCACATAGCTGTGGTCCCGCAGGAAGCTGTGGTTAATTTTCCGCGTGTCCGTGTCCTCGCCCATTGAAGGCCGTGCCCGGTGCCCTGGGCATGCCCCGCCGCCGCACACCGATGCAATCCGCAGAGGTCGCGCCGGGCGCGCGGGCCATGCCGCCGCAGCCTAGCATGGGCAAGATCGGAAGAGCTGCCACTCGAGGACACGG